TCTAGTTAATAATAGGTTCAGAAATAAGTCTCAACTAGGATCTAATAAAACTCGACCGCGAAATTTTTTCCTAAACTCGRCGAAGTTCGTACCAAACTCCCTTGAGTTTCAACAACTCTACAGGGATATACSAAAACTCGACCAGGAAATTTTTGTTCCTAAACTCGACGGGGTTCGTTCGAAACTCCCTCGAGTTTTGAAATATCTGCTGGAATCTACCAAACTCGATGAGGAAATTTTGTTCCTATGAAACTCCATCAAGTTTCAACAATCAACCATACCTTACCGAGATTCCACCAATTTATAAAACTCGGTTGGGTTTCTTCGCAACTCCCTCGGGATTCCACCAATTTACAAAACTCGGCTGGGTTTCTACGCAACTCCATTGAGTTTCTTATGTAACTCACCCGAGATTAACCAAACTACATTATAAGTACAACTCGTTCTCTTACTCCCAACGGATCAAAAACCAGCCAACAATGTTTTTAAACTTAAAAAGAAGGGATAATGATGTCTTTACACTTAGAGAATATAACTTATACTCTGTAAACAAAAAAACTAACCTGATCGTTTGAAGACGACGAAAGGCACGTTTCAAACAATGGATCTTTCCGGGGTTAAAAAAAAACAATGGATCTTGCACGAAAGGCACGTTTCAAACACTGAAAGTAATTGTTGTCTGCAGATGAATAGAAGTACAAAAAAGAACTGATCCATTTCGAATGAAATTAATTACATTAATGATCGTATAAGAGGTTGGTGACTAATAAAATCTAGGTTGGTGAAATATATTAAAAACTCCGTCGAGTTCTATGCGATCTCCGTCAGAGTTTTTTTAGAGCTATACATTGTCATGTTTTTTATATAAAGCAGGGGCAGTTTCGTCATTTCACGGACCTTGATTTGTAAGCAAAAGAGGAATTGGGTCATATAAGTGAAAAATCTGAATTTGGGTCATTTGAGCAAACCTAAAACATTTTTAGGTCAAATCGATCAAATTCCCTAACTTTTTGGTATTTCTAAGTATTATTCTTATTTTTACCTTTCTAATTTATGGAGCTTTAGCCCCTCTAATTATTAAGAGCTAGAAAACTTTCAAGTTTTACTTCCCTCTCTATTATTATTATTATTATTTCTTTATCTGATTCAAAGGATCATCTTGAGTGTTTTTTTTTATTGCAACAAATATGGTGGGATAGGTATTAAATTTTCTGATCTTTAGAAAATGTTCCAAATGTTTTGACTGCTGAACTATGTTCATTTTAACGGATATTTTGAATAGTCGATGCTTAATAATAATTTCGAATCGTTGAGTCACATGCATATATTTGAGTATTACAAATGCTTTACTCAATTTTTTTTAAATAAATAAAGTTTTATCCATACTCTTGTTTCACCACTTCATTGCAAGAAAAGTATTAACCAATTCCAACATAGGTTAAACGATTAAGACATTAGTAACATCTTCTATGAATTAAAAAGTTTTGAATCCCCCTCTATTCTTAGAAAATAAAAATACAAATAAAAAAATTTGAAAAAAAAATTAACGCCCATTTGATTTTTTTTTTATAATTTTTAAATTAGTCTTTTCCATAAAATACATGGTTTTTCTTTAGATCAATAAATGGAAATTCTACAGGATTGCCAACTATAGATTATGGCTTTGTAGTATTATATGAATTTTAAAATGATCTCTTTAATGATGAGAGAAATTAGGCAGATATCATCTTAAAGATAATAATTTAATTCATGCCTCATAGTCACTACAAATCATCTTCTTTTGTTTTTTTTTTTTTATACAATATATTGGGGAGGGGATTCTAACTCACAATTTCATGGTTGGAGGTATATCCCAATTACCGCTTAGCTATGTTTAATGTGTAATATCTATATAACTAGTAGAACTTACTTTTAAGATCCGTGTATTTAGTAAAATTATTTTAGTATAAAAAGTTTACAAAATATTTTTATGTTTGCATTTACAATCTTAAAAGTATTTTGGGAAATTGACTCAATTGACCTGAAAAAGTTTTTATTTTGCTCAAATGACCTAAATTATAAAAATTGACTCAACTGATCCAATTTTAACTTTTCTGACATTTCAGAGAGTCTGTAATTACGAATATACCCCCAAATGAATTGAACTACAACAAATCTGGCACGGAATCACGTAGGTTGGTGTAATTAAAACCATGGACGAGTTCCACTTGATTCATGACCATGAATTTATTAAAGTACCACAACTTAATAATTCCCCACCAAATTTTTGTACTATCATTTATTATATACCCACACATTCTCACCGATTGCAGAGAATAAAAGTATGTTTCAGTCCGTATTGTCCAGAAGCACATCTTTCACGTGGTTTTGAAGAA